CCTTTAAAGTGATACATGATTAGTTGTAACATTAGATTTTTTTTGATAAACATTTATTTTACAGTTAAAATATACGTTTATCAAATAAAGTCTAATGTTACAACTAATCGGGGATCCCTTTAATAAACAAACAGGCACAACAGTAATAAACAGCTTTTGCGAGGGAACGTCAAAGAAAAGAAAAAAACACCTCATGTCCCCTCGCAGCTCCGTAGATTTAAGATATTCCCCAAGATCATTTCCAAAACCAATAAAAGAACCGCAGATTTTTACATTTTTACTAAAAAACCCACCCCCCACATTGCACTGCACCAGATTTAGCCTTAGGCTAATTTACATCTGCAGTTCTTCCAGACAATAAACAATCATAGATAATAAAACCATCCAACATTTAAAAAACAACAACAAACTAATGTAACAATGATAAACCCGTCCACCTCCACCCCAACATGTTGTTCAACATGATGAATGGCTGTCTACCAACAAAGCTCAGACACCCAACAGTCACAAGTAAACTGATTTAAATGCATTTTTTCATTTGTTTCACTAAATAAAAAGGAGAAATAACCTATGCTTTAGMACAGGCAGCCAAAATAACAATATGTTGAGGGGGGAAAAAAGGCAAACATGGTCTGACACGCATTATTGTAGCAGTTAGGTGATAATGTGTTGTTTCGTGCCGACTGTGGCCGAGTGGTACCGACTACACGGTGTTAATGAGCAGAGCTTCAGGCCTCTGCACCTGTTAGTGAGGATGTCCCACAGATTAACAACTGGATCTCAGAACAAGCTGCAGCTTCTGCTAATAGATTTTAAGTCTTTATTTCAAAGGTTTATGCTGCTTATGTGGGGGGTGAAAATCAATCTCCTYACAGGACTTTTTACCACAGCTAGTCTGGGCCCCAAAGTGAGTCTGAATTTACTTTGTGTTTTTGTGCCGACAGARTCTAAAGGAGTCTCGAGCTTCTTGGTTAACAAAGGACAGAAGAGAAGGCCGACGCAGCTCAGCGGTTTCACTCACACAGAACTAGTCAAGTGCTGCGAGGTGAGGGTTCAACAGTCACGGCTGGGAAGGGGAAAGGAAAGAGATGAAGAGGAGAAGGAGAACATTGTGTGGCGACAAACYTTAGAAAAACGAGAACAAGGAAAAACAGTTGTTTTTGTAATTTAAGAAACACTTATAGTTTAATATTTTATATTATAGAACTAACGTAAAGTTATCTTTTCATTTCTGTCCCCTCTTTATTATGGTTTTTCTGTTATAGGCCACACCAGTTCCATCATGAAGCCAATTATCAGTAATATCTTGAATAAACTGCAGAGCAATTCTGAGATTAGCCTGTAGTTTCTCAGTAATAAAAGGAACCTTTGTTATTAAAGACCTAAAAGCATGTATCAGGTTAGATCAGGTGCGGTGGTTTCTGATTGGATCAAATGTGACCMATCACATCGAAACAAGGATTAAGTCTAAAAGTTGTATGTGGAGAAAYAGGCAGATAYAGTGATTTGATTAAAACACTTGCAAAAATTACAGTTTGTCAAAATATAACAAATAAATGTGTTATCAATGTATCATTTCAATGAACTGTCTGAAATATTATACTAAAAATTTTTTGAAGCGCTTTTTTGAGCAGTAGCAACAAAAAAAAAAAACAGATTTTGAGGAAAAAACGTCTTAAATTTTTTAGATTTTCCCTGTGAGCTAGCAAAGTTTTGTTTCTTTCCAGCTGAGAAATCTCAATATTCAAATATAATTTGAGGTTTCTTTTTTAAAATGACATTAAAAATCCTCAATAAAATTACATAAAATTAGGATTTAGACCAAATATKTATGTATTATTGTAACCAACAAGACAAATTAAATAATACCTCTGGCTCTACTAATGATATCAGGATGATCTAAGTATCAAAATGTAACTTTTAGAGCAGGAATCTGAAAATATGATGAGGTCATTTTGACCAAATTGGACTTAATCCTCATTTCGATGTGATGGTTCACATTTTATCAGAAAGTTATCAACCTTTAGCAGTTAACCAGTGAAATTATCGATACATTGGAATTGATATTGAACACGTGTCTATTGCGATATATATTATTGATTTATCTCCCAGCCCTGTTACAGATAATCAAAACTAAACTTCTGTAGATCCACATTCTGAGGGGAACTTGATAACTGTTTTATAAATGAACAGTATTTAGAACCAACAGATGAATAAGTGTTTATTTTGCTTAATCTGACTTGGAAATGCCTCCTAACAAGC